ACACGATCTTAAATTATCCTAATCCAATTAACCCAATTTATACACCTATACCTAATCCAAACTCTAACCCACAAACCTAACTCAAAAATAATCATAAATCTAACCTAACCCTAATACTAACCAAATCAAATTATAACATAACATACCTTTCAATATGTGATGTAGTTTGAATTCCTGCCGTGAAAACTTTGGACGTGAAGGCACAAGCCCATGAGTAACGACTAGGATAAAGGGTCCGATTCAGGTAACTTGAAGCAGATGGAAACTTTTCTAATAAAATTTTCCATCTGGACTCAAATAGTATCTCATCCAAAGTGTTACGGCAGAGGTAAAAGTCTTTGACAAATTGATCATACGTGTTACCTAATGTTCCTTTCAAATTCTTTGGAAGGTTTTGGCTGATATGAAAAATACAATGTAATGAATGAGTATTTTCATACACTTGTTTTAACGCACTGTCCATCGCTGGATCTGCATCTGTCACAAAGACCATAGGCTAAACACCTGTAGCTTTCATAGTGCACTGAAGAATCCATAGGTATGAGTCAACAGTTTCATCAGAAACTAACGTTGTACAACTAAACGAGATCTCGTGTTATTATCAACAGCAAGAAACAAACTCAAAGGCATCTGATATCGATTCGTTTTAGATGTATTATCATTTAGAATAATATCATGATATTCTAGCCAAAGGGATATCTGTTTAGGAGTCATCCAGAAAATTCAGGTGAGGCGGTTATTGCTATCTAACTCAAATTCAACACTCCAACCTGACTCTTCTGAACGCTTCTCAGTAAGATACAATAAAAGCTGTGAGGCATCATTTTAAGATCTTTAGACTTAACTTTATAATGTTGAATAGCGTTAGCAAGATCCATATCTAAGAAAGTTGCATCAGGGTACTTTGCTCGTAGTAATTGACACTGTATAGTAATTGAAAGATTTTCATTTTTTGTATAAAACTCAATATCATTCAATGCTTTGTCTCTAATTGACCTAAACTTAGCATTGTATTTACACTTTTTAGGCTCAAGTTCATGGTTGTGAGTATTTACAAATGTTGTAACTATAATATAATTAGATTTTTTAGACAAACTTAGATTGATATGTCATTCATATCCTTTACGTTTCGATTGTCAGTTGGGTAAGCGTTAATATCAATACTCTTCATAGGTATATATTTTCCTCCAAACTCACATCCAAGAGATCTATATCTAATTACACCATCATTACGCTGTTCAACTCTTATTTTAATAATAGCAAACCCATGATACTGACCATAAGCTTTAAAAAAAGCTTCAATATCATCCCATGAAGGAAACGTATAACCAAGTTTTAGTAAGGAAAAATCATGCTGTGTCTTGTCTATAAGATAAGTTTGCAAGCTTAAAATGTTAAAACTAACCCTATAACAAACCATAACTTCATACTACAGTAGTACAATACCTCTGTTAACCTCCTCAGTAGTTGCTTCATCATAAACTGCATTTTCGCAGAGGACATTAGTCTTAGTGTCAATCGTATATGAGCTATTAGGTTGAACATTAACTGCGTAGGAGGTACTGAATTCAGCATTTAATGCACTGGAGGTACTGGTTTTAGCAGTAAATGTGTAGAAAGTGCTACTTTCAATATTTGCCACTTGATCAATCATAATCATATAAAAGGTACTAACTTCTGCATTAACCGTATATGAGGTACTGGTTTCAGAATTAGCTGTATAAAAGGTACTGGCCTCAGCATTAGTCAGTTGAGCAACCATATTTAAACATCACTTCTACCTGCTCAATGTCAAATTTATTAGTTTATAAAAATGCAATAGTATACGTTACTTCTAAGAACAGTTAAGAATGTTGTCACGTCACGAAATCAGTTAGAAACCAAATATTATAAATGAAGAATCAATGAGAAAAAAGATACAATATAAGCTCTGTTAGAAGTTACTTGAAGAAAAGAGTGCTATCACATTATCACAAACTGAGAAATAAATACACGTTCACTTACACGTGATCATCAAATGTTATATCTATAACCTGTAACAAATAATTTATATTACAGAGTGTAACATTAACATTTATCCTTTACAAAAAAGTAAATATTAAATTTACAAAAAAGGTAAGTATTAGTTTTTGTCAAACCAATAAAATTTGGGTTCTGTAACATGTGGGTAGCACTAGTAGGGGCTGCTACTGTTACACGGAAAACGTATC